CCTTTGCTTTGGGGTCATCAAACTGCAGGAATGTCCTCAGCATCAGGCCAGGGAGGCCACACAGCAACCAGGAGCACTGCAGGGAGCCGGGTCCATGGGGTCTGTCCTGGAAGGGCCGGATAGGCTCCGTGTGGAAGCTGACCACGTCTGCTTTTCTTTCAGCGAGAAGAGAGGAGTTCCCCAGGGAGGTCCTGGGCCTGGATCTGGTGTCCTCAGGACCCGGGCCTCGGCTGGCCTCCCGAAGCATGGAGATTCACCGCCGAGATGTCGGACTGGCCCTCTCTGGCCCACCGCCTCTGTCCCCAGTCCAAGACAGGCCACTAGTAATATGGAAACTCCTGCAGTGGAGCTCGCTGCCAAACCTCCCCTGTGATGTGGACTTTGGGGCCCCATGGTTCCCCAAAGTCAGTTACCAACAAGAGTGCTGGGTCCGTGCCACTTGTCCATCAGCTGTGGCCACCCCTAGGGCCCCAGTCCAGGACAGGCCAACAGTAATATGGAAACTCCTGCAGTGGAGCTCGCTGCCAAACCTCCCCTGTGATGTGGACTTTGGGGCCCCGTAGTTCCCCAATGTCAGCTTCCAAAAAGAGTGCTGGGTCCCTGCCACTTGTCCATCAGCTGTGGCCACCCCTAGGGACACAGAACAGGCCCAGTCCTTCACCCCCACTGTAGCCCCATTACCAGGCCCTGTCATGCCCACTGAAGGCTCACTGAGGGCTTGAGCCCACCNTCCTCCCTGCTTGGGGCTCCACACTACAAAGTGAGGCCCCAGTGGGCCGACCTCAGGCCACTGGGGCTTGGCCCAGCCAGGCCTGCATCTCCCACACCTGCTCTTCCCGCAGATCCCTTTCCACCTGACCATGAGGCTCTGGGATGTTTACATCCTGGAGGGGGAGCTAATTCTAACAGCGATGGCATTGACAACCATGAGAATTCATGGAAGTAAGTATACCTGTTCCTAGGGAACTCAGGGTGGAAAGCAGAAAGGACAGGACCTGGCCTGACAATGGCAACTGTTTACACTGACCACAAGGCCGCCTCAGCCCAAAGTGAGCCAGTCATGGATGGGGGAGGGGTCGTGCCAGGCCAAACATGGGGGGTGGTGCAGGGCACCGTGGGTGTTTCCAGACACCGAGCCCACCCCCTGACATGACACTGACAGAGGGCAGGAACGGGGAGGCCACTTTCCTGGCCTGTTCTGCTTCTGGCCCTGGCCTCCCATGTGCACCTGGAACCCAGGTATGGCCGAAGCAGGATCCCACAGCCACCCATGAGGAGGTGCCCTGAAAGTGAGCAAGGTCCGGGCACTGAATCACCCGGGGGGGACCTATTCTAGCCTGACTCCCACCCCCATGTTTAGAACTCCTCCAGAAGCTTCACCAGGCTGGCATCCTGGCATTTTTTACGGAAGAGCTGTGTAGGGACTGGGCCGTACATGATGATGACGTGCTGAGGCAGCTTCGGGTTTTGGTCGAGGAAGTGCGTGGAGCCAAGTGTGGCCTGGCCCCCTTACGTGAGTGCAGCAGTAGGTGCCCTGGTGACTTGCCATCGGGGGCAGTAAATAATCAGGAGTCCCGGGAACCACCAGCCCTGCCCTCGGGGCTTTCTCCCTCCTCTTCCCCTCTGCTCTAAGAAGCTTCTGAAAGCAAGGCCAGCAGGGCCTCAGGGCAGGTGCTGGCCTCAGAAGCCTCAGAGGCGAGGAGGGTTATGTCTCCATCTGCCACCAGCTACTCCCCCACACCCTCTAGTTCTTGTTCTCCAAGATCCCCTGGTGGCCACAGCAGCCTTCAGACCTATGTGTTCAAGCAGAAGACCCCACCTGAGAGNCAAATGAACTCCCTGAGGGTCTCCTCTCACACAGATCAGAAGGGTGACACGTTCTTGTCCTGTCATTTTTCATTTCATCGATTCTTTTTATGCACCCGCCGCCTCTTACTGACTGGGCACGAAGGGAGTTCTTGATGTGTCGTGAGCTGAATCAGGCGCAGAAGGACAAACACTGCATGGTCTTGATGTCGGAGGTAGGGTCCAGGGGGCCCGGTAGTCAGCCTCAACACACCCAGTCCTCTGTCCATGTTCATGACTCTGCCCCAGGAAAGGATTCAAGGGCAGAGCCACAGTAGATGGTGAGAACTAGTTTAATGTGACAGATAAGAAATGCAGGTTGCACAGAGAGTGCGGCATGCTCCAGACACTGAGCAGGACCCACACCAAGTCTAACACAGAAGTTCAGTGCAGACATCAAGCCTAAACAACTAAACTAAACAACAACAAAAACATGCTTAAAGGTCAGTACAGAGTGCAGGCTGACNGAGTGCAGGCTGACTCAAGAGCACAGTCTGAGCAGCCTGAGCAGCCACTTGCTGAAGTAAGGTGGATACAAAGTGAAATATACACACCTCAGCCAGCCAAGTGCAGGTGGCCTCCAGGACAGTGAGCTGCGACTCCGCCTTCAGCTGGGATTCGGCTTTTATAGTTTATTTGATGAACATTCAGTTAAGGGGGTGCTTCCCAGTTATATGCACCAGGCGTATTCAAGAGTATCCTGTGCTCTCTATCGAGCACGCCCAGCCACTGGATTTGCATAGCCAGCCACTGTGGTCTCATATTCCCGGGGTTGGTGCTACAAGTTGGTCTAACTGGCAACAGTGACTTTCCCCCAGGGGAGAGCTCAGAGGAGGGGACCTGAGACCTCAGGGAGTGGCTGGAAACCCAGAGGCGTGTCCTGAAAGCCAAGCACAGGGAAAGTGAGCACCTCCTATATCAATCCCACTTTGCCTCATCTGTAAAATAAGGATTGTGCTATTACTAACTTTATAATTTTGACATGAGGGTTAGGCATCATAATGTGTATGTAGTTATACATATGTGTATATATATATACATAACACATATAGCATCACATACATATTTAATATTATTGCATACCTACTGCACTCCATGTTTAGTGGTGAACAAGTTAAAGTCCTTGCCTTAGTGGGATAGGCTGTCGTCGTTACTATTATCGGCTGTTATTTGTTTGCTCTGTTCCTAGCACAGTGCTCATACATGGCAAATCCTGTTGAACAAATGCTGCCCGTCCTCTGACTCCAAAATGCCAAGCTTACTCATAACTTATCAGTGTTTTCTTTAATATTTTTTCTCCCTTGATTTTTGTTCTCATTTTTCTCAAATTAGTTTTTGGGGTAAGTGTTTGGGCCTAACCATGTTAGCATTGCATACATCATAATCCATGTTAACAGATGCCCTATTTATGGGGAAATGTAAGGTGTTGATGTGGAGAAGTTTTTCATCTCATGTTTCTCTTGAAGAAGCAAAACACACAGTAAACTAAGTCTAGTCTTCTTGAAACTCTGCAGTTAAAAAAATTGTCATAGGAACTGGGGTATATACTTCGTACAACGTGGCATTAATTATTCAGTCATTCTGAATAGGTTTCAATAGCATTACATGAAAAAAAAATAAGAGCCCTCCATTGGCCAATTAATCCCTCCCAAATCCCAAGGGTTATTTCTTCCAAACAGTATCTCCAATTGAACAAAATGCCTACTTCATCTTCAGCAGGGAAAGAGAGAAAGACCTATTAAAGCCCCATTTTTCCCTTTTTAAAAAGGAATCTTGTCTGATCTCAAACACTCAGACAAG